CAAGGCCATGCGCCCAAAGGATGCACAACGGAGTAGAAAGGGATTTCCTGGATGCATGCAAAGCTACGTAGCTTCATGACTTTTTGACCCTTTCACCGCTGTCTCACCGTTATACGTGCAAAATATAGAAAAGAGAACACAACCAACAAGGCCGATTTTTTTTTCTCTTACATGTATTTTAAATGATGAAAAGTTGCCCATGACAGTTACAGAAAATGGATGGAGTTACCTTTAAAAATGCTTAAGTTCCATTTATGTACATCTGTGTGTAAATCTGTGTGTGTACATACACACACTTTTGAACAAGAGTTAAATTAAACTCCCCACTGAAACTCATATATGGGACATGTTTAGTGGGCATCCTCACTTATGGAGAAGCTTAACAAGATTTGGGAAGAGTCCTAGGACATTCATATTAAAATAGGAAATACACGCTGTCTTCAAATGGCTCACATCTTTGTAAATCCAGGACGGAGGTCATGCAATTCTGAGACATCTAATCAGGATTAGTTTTAAGTTCCTTTCCATTTTGGGGAAGCTCTTTCAAACGCTTTCTGCTTTCAACGTCTCTTCGGAGACCTAGCTCTCTCAATCCTTAAGGGTGAGCTCAAAGCATGCAGATTTGGAATTTTAATGTGTCCTCTTTATGAGATCCAGATTCTAGCGACTGGCTTCCTCTTTGGTTCTAATATTTATACTCTAAAATTCTATCAGCATTAATCTCAGTTGAATCAAACTATACTAACCTGCCCAGACCATCCTTTTTCCTCTCCCCTAAAGCATTACTAAAATAGAAACAAACAGCTAGTATACGTTTTAGATATTTGAGGACAGAAGATTGTCTAGTCCAGTAAAAAGAAAAGTATAAACCAAGGAAAGCACTGCCGTCGCCTTAAGAACTGGTACCCACAGAGGATCAAAGACCAAAAATAATACGAAAAGCCTCAACCTCTGCAAATCTCTATTTCCACCCCACGTTCTCCAAAAAAATTTAGAAACTGTACTATTTCACAGGGAAAAAGCACCCCATGATCACTTCCCCGAGACGGTTTCCACATCAGCGATTTTGCACTTAAATTTCCCAAATCCAGCCCCATCCTGTGCAGGTGACAATACTCTTGTGAGCGGAAATAATGTTCAAATTCTGCCGTTAGTGTCGGGAATCACTCATTCCCGATTCACGGGCAGTGGTGAACAGGTCTGGATTCCTGACATAACTAAGGAACTTACAGCAACAGTCAAGCTTCTCACCCCAGCCTGTTGGAAACCCAAACAGCAGTCTGTCTCCATCTTTTAGAAGCCGATGGCATTCCCGCCCAAGACCCCGTTGCCATTCTGCTGTCCCTGTGCTTTGTGACCATGTCGATGGCCTGAGGTCACACCAGGGGGTAGTTTCGGAGCTCATTCCAGAGCTGGAACCTCTGTCCGGGTTCACGATGGAACCAACAGATCAAGCAGTCTTTTTACAACCCAAGGTCCAGCTGTCTACCTTATCATGATCGATGTGTCTGAGGAATTAGGAATTCTTGGTTAGGTAGCGCGTCTATTGCAAACAGGAGAGAAAACCCTTCAGGGCAGCTGCTTAAGCCGAGAAGGAAAGGAACTTTGCACGGGAGTGATGAAGGTGGTTCTTGTCTGGGTGGAGCTTTTCTCAAAGCAAAGGGTGGATTTTGAAGGCCTCAGATGTTTTCTGGTTCTGTAAAGAAAGATTGGATGCAAGATGTCATAGCCAGGAAAAAAAAAAAAAAAACCTCTACGGATTGATCTTAAAGCACTGGTATCTTTTTTACTGCTTTCTATTTGTTCAGGGTTTCGAACATTTTAAGTGAATCGAGTAACTCCATCTTTTGGGTGACAACTCATATTTGTAGAAACCCCTTTGGGGGATGCGGCCGAATTAGTCTTCATAACCTCTAAACTGGGAGTTACTATTACGTCCATTTGACGAAATAAAGGCAAAGTGTGATGCTCACACGGTCCCCTTGAGTGAATAGACCTCTGTCGCCATGTTAGAGGGCCCCATCCCCATCACTGTCCCTACAAGATGCACAAGCTCCAGGACTGGGCTGCATACAGACGCACAGGTCGTGCATTGCTCCTAACCCCTGCAGAGCTGGCCAGTGTACGTGCCCGCCATCCTTCGGGAGAGAGTGGGCATTCCCTGGCCCTACTCAGGGACGCTAGCCAGCCAGGCAGCATTAGCACCGTACCACAGAGGGAATGTCAAGCTGCCATATTTCTTAGACGGTTTACGGGTTTTGCACCCAGCAAGGATCACTCCTTCGCACTGTGGCAGGGGTGCCCGAATGACGTCACAGCATGTCTTAACTCTCTGAGCTCGCTAACTTTCACAGAACCGCAGCCAAATTCGGTCCCTTAGTGGACCTGGTGAAGTTATCATTAAAGGGTAACTGAGAAAGTAGACAGAATTTTTTTTTTTTGGAGTGTAGTTGCGTTATAATATGTTGTATTAGTCTCTACTGTACAGCAAAGTAAATCAGCTAGACGTGTATTTTATCTAGTCCCAAAAAAGGCAGGAGAGAGCTTCAAGACAGGACACTGCTTTAACCAAAAAGGGCTTCCACCTCAGATAAACGGGAAGGGCATGGACCAAAAAGAACAAAAACTGCCCCTGCTTCAGAATTTCAAATAGGAGGAGGTGAGTGGACACCAAGTTGTAGCAGGCGCCAGAAAACTCGGGATATGTCGTAATACTTGAATGCAGTGTTTTTTTAAAAAAAATCATAATGAATGCCCAGAAAAGCCCACCGTGAGCATAGTATCAAAATGTGAAATAAACCTGGGCTCCAGTCTTGCATTTGTATATGATGCCTCACTTGCCTCTGGCTGCAGTAAAACTTTATTGACATGAACAGGCAGCAAGCCTGCAGGCTGCAGTTTGCCAGTTTGTTATTTTTTTTTTAAATATGACACTAAAATAGTATTTATCTTGGTGACTTCGCTTGTTGGGGCTCCCTCCACCCCCTTACGTTTGCGCCTGAGATGATGCCTCACTTCCCTTGCCCATTTTCAGCCCTGAGCTCCCGGAGTCACAAGTGCTTACAGAGTTTGGCCAAAGATGCAAGCGAAATTAATGCACAGTGTCTCTGTAATGATAAGGCATGTTGCCCAGAAAGTAACGTTGTTCTTCATAATCTGTTTCCCCCCTACCCCCCAAACTTTCAGGTTCCGGGGTTATGTACACCAAGGCTCGTCCCAGCCAGGGGGTTGCTCAGTACCACCCAGCCACCAGCAGAGGGAGGCCAAGGGTAGGTTTTGGGATTTTGAAGTTGCCCAAATCCTTAAAAAAATACTCCTGGAATAGGCTTTTGTTTCATAGCTTCCTTCCTGGAGGTGGAGGCCCCCTGGCAAAACACAGACAGATTCAGACACGGTTGGTCTCAGGACCAAACCTTGGGAGACCCTGAGTTAACATTTGAGCTGTTGTTTCTGCAATAAAGCATCCCCCTCTCCACCCCCCACCCCCCACCCCCATCTTCCCTTTAGCGATGTCTTCAGGGCTTTCATGATTCAGCAGACAGGATCTCTGCTCCCCGTCCTTGGGCGTGTAAGTCTTCAGACCCGGAAGCCTGGACCCAAAGGTGAAGCAGAAAGCCCCAGCACGCCCCCAGCCCTGGCCCCAATCCACTTCCCGGGGGTCTGTGCACCTTTCGACAGAAAGGTTTGCAATTTAGTCCTTCTGCGGTTTTCTTTTGGGAGAAGGGTCCAAAAACTGCAGACTCCACCCAAATATCTTTGCCAACTCCCTTGTGATTGAAAGTTCACTGAAAACAAAAGCAAGTTACTTATGTAAGGTCTGTGGCAGTGAAACCAAATCTTACAGATGAGAAAACCTTAAAAAATTAATAAAAGTGTAAGCATCTTTTCAAAAGCATCTCTCAAGTCCCCCGTGTGTCCGTAATAAAGTCCCAGCTTAAAAATCCCTTCATTATGCAAGGGGGTCTACACTGGACTTTATCAGAAATAACATTACCAGCAAAGGACCTCAGAAAGTATTTTTTAATTCAAAATATGTTATCATTTATTGAGTGTGACACTTGAACACAGCTCACACAGATGCATCGCGGGTGACTGCTTTCAACTCTATTTGCAATATTTTTAAACACATTGCCTCGTTAAACAAAAGCAGACAGAAAACCTTTTACTCACGGAATCAAAGTATGTATTTTGCATGAACTTTTTTGATAGATTGTATTCAAGAGGATTTAGCCTTTCATTACATAAGTTAAATAAATTGACTAACATATATTTGTCAAAGAATTTTATAACATAATATAGCCAATATTCCGTAATACCTGTAAATGGAGTATAACTCTTAAAACTTGTGAAACAAGTTTCACAAGTACACCTGTAACGTATAATATTGTACAGCAAATACACTTCAATTTAAAAAAATGTATAACAAGAAGAGATCTTAAAAGCCATCATTTAGGTGTGGTTTCAAATCAGCTCTAAAGGCCTATATTAAAAAAACAAAACAAAACTACTTTAAGGACTTTTTGAAAAGTAATAAATTCTAAATAAAATGAAACATTTTTCATTTTAAGAACAAATTTCCTAGATACATATGATTCGTGTGAAGATGTGCCAGTGTGTCTATTGGACGTAAGTTGTTTTGGCTGTTATTTTATTAAAATAATTTTTTAAGTGACATATAGTCGATGTACAATATTATATTAGTTTCATGCATGCAACATAGCGATTCAACATTTTTATAGATTGTATTCCATTAAAGTTATTATAAAATATTGGCTCTATTCCCTGTGCTGTACAACATATCCTTGTTGCTTATTTATTTTATACACAGCAGTTTGTACCTCTTAATCTCTCTGCCCCATCTTGCCCCTCCCCCCTTCCCTCTCCCCACTGGGAACCGCTATGTTCTCTGTATCTGTGAGTCTGCTTCTGTTTTGTTACATTTATTCATATACTTATCAGGCTTTACACTTAGGGAAGATAAAATTGGGAGGGAAACTTGCCATTTGTCCTGCAACAATTCCTCCTTCTGTTGTACTGGAAATAGCTGGCCGCTGCCCCCACCAGGGTCACCAGCACCCCGCACAGGATAGGAGACACGATTTTTGCTAACCTGTTGCCTGCGGGAATCCAGAAAAGCAAGATGGTCTGTGAAAAACACAGCCAGCCGGAACACTGCTGATTGTAAATAACTCTGCAATCACATCCCTGGCCCTCCCCACCCTCCTATTCACGGGAAGATGATGGAATTCACACAAGAAGCCCAAGGAAGTGATTCTGCTTTCACCCCAGGGGAGCTTACCAACCAGTCTTATGGGACTGGGGCATCCAACTGTTTTGCGCAGAAGGTAGGCTTGATATGTTTTTTCATGTATTTGTGAATTTGGATGAATCTGTGGCTTTGGGGACATAGAATGTTTACTCATGCAAAAAAAATTTGTTTTAACCAAAAAGTGCCTGATAGCCCAATCCTCAAATCATGCTGGGGCTCTGAACACAACCATATAGCAAACATCAATGCTTTAAGGGAAGCTTAGGTTTTCCTGCACAAAATCCAAGGTATGGAACCTTGATGTGACAAAAATCAACACTTCCCCAGAAGAACAAATCGTTGCTTCCGTCTAAAATAACCACGCATGTCCTACATCAGATCCAGGCAAGTGCCCGGCGTGTCGTAGGTGACGGATGAGTGGCCACGCCGTGGATGTGGCTCCCGTGATGCTTGGAAGAGTGTTACCACGGTGCCCAGGGATCTGTCCTTCCCTTGTGCTGCTGTCTCACCCTGTCCCCTGCTGGACCCCAATCTCCAGGGCTCCCCACCCCCTATCCACACCCTCTACCATGTGACTTGGTGGCATGGGAGGTGGGGGGCGTCCAGGTCATCATCCTCAGAATTGGGTCTTCAGCCAATAGAACCAGAAGACGTGGAGCTGTGATGTTTCTTATCCTGGTAATGCTCCTCTTTATTCTCTGGTACCGTGTCTGGCTGCCGTGTGGCCCAGCCTGGCCTGGCCTCTTGGATGGATGTGGGCTGCTTTTAGCCCAATTGCGACTCACATAATCGTAATCAATGGTGGTTGTTTAAAATCACTATGTTTGGGGCTCTTTTGTTACATAGCACTGCTAACTGATACACCTCTATCCTCTCTGCCATCCCATGCAAATCAACCATGTGATATCAATGGTGACTACCAAATGGTCCTCCAGGCTGACCTCTTATCCCCATGTCCACTGTCTCTACAACATCCTCTTTAGTCTGGGAACTAAGTGGGTCTTAACACTGATCTCCCTGACAGTCACTGGCCCTCTGATCCATGCATCACATAGGTATAAATAGGGGCAGGCTTTTTCCCGTGGAGCATGTATAAAGTGCAGACGTGCCCATGGGGTACCCTGGCCAGTCACAAGTGTTGCCCCCTGCCCATCACACTCCACACCCTGGCCCCATAAACTACAGTTGTTCCCGGGGGTGTACCCAGCCCGACCTAGCAAAGCACCTACCTCTCCTGTCCTGGCTGCCTCTCACCCATCCTTTAGACCCGGCCTTGGAGATGGTCCCCTCAAGGAGCATCCTTACCCACCTCCATTCTGCCCCAGTCTAGGATGAGTCCCTCTGTCCTGCCGTGGACCCCGTCAAACCATGTGTCAGACCTGGATTCTTGCCCTGGGATGCACCCCTCCTGCCCCACCTCCTGCCCACGAGAAGAGAAGCATCCATGGACTTCCCCAGAATGTCCATACACCCAGCAAAGAGCAGTACTGAGACTCTGCATGGGGATAGGGTCTGAAGGTTGGAAAGACACCTCAATACCTTTCTTCTTCCCAAAGCCTTGGGGTCAGCTGGGTGGATTCACTGTCACCCTCCACCTAAATGCCAGATCCCCAAGGCGCTGGACCCCATCCTCCCAGTGACACACAACAAAAGCCCACCATCCGGACTCCAGCCCCCACTGCTGGACCTGCGATGGGGCTGGCAGTGCCCTCTGGGGTTTCTCCGTGGCTGAATGCCATTACTTCCCCTCCCCTCTCCATTTTGGCTACCGGTCAGTAGTGGTCAATGAAAGGGACGCCATTGGTGGCCCAGCGGCAGGTCCACGAACCCCAGCCCTGCTCTCAGAGCTCCGAGGCATCTTCCAGCTTGAGGACTGTCCTTGCCCACCTTCTCTGACCCCCACAGGATGGACCCCTCCCTGAAGGACAGACATGTGTGTTCAGGAGCTTCCAGACGAGCATGGGAACAGTAGGTGCTCCCTGAACACCCTCAGGTTGAAAAATCATTACACGTCTACCCCACCTCATCCCACAGTGATGTAGAGAGCTCGCTCCTGGGCAAGGTGGGCTGCCCCGCCCCTGCGTGTTACCTTGTGGGTTGCCGTACGAGGGGTAGCCATCTCCACCTAGAAGGGGACAAGCACTCGGTCATTCATTTATACGGACGAGCTTGGTCGCGCTGCGTCCTGCTGCCAGCGCCAGCAAGTTGATAGGGGCGTGGCCACGAGCAGAGCAGACCAAACCTCTGCTCTCACGGAGCTGGCCTCCCAGCGGGCAGGTGGGGACAGACAGAGCTAGGAAGGGGAGATGCAGGCATTACAGCTGGGGGGGAGCGGGACCAATGGAGGTGGAGGGGGCGTGGCTCTCACCCCATGGCTCAGGGAGTACCACACGTATGTGCACACACATGCAGCACACACCCCCAATATACACAAGCACACATACACACGGATGCACACACGTGCGACACATAAGCGCACGTACTCGCGGATGCGCACACGTGTGACACACAAGCACACATACGGATGCACACATGTGCGACACACAAGCACACATACTCACGGATGCAAGCTAAGCTGCCATCCTCAAAAGGGGTCCGTCCGGGTGGGCTGCTACAAGCCTGCCGGGGATGCGACCCTGTCCCTCGCGCCCACCTGGGCAGCCTCCTGCGGCCCCACTGCACAGCCAGCGCGGCGGGCCGGGCCTGGACCCCAACCTGTTACTTCCACCCCTAGCCTCAAGCAAGATTCATAAAGAGGATGCAGACAGCGACACTGTGATTTTAATCAGAAATATACGTATTTGGTTTTCCTCCCTAATCCAAACACAGAGCCCCTTGGAATTTCCTAAATGATAGGAATGATAAAGGGGTCTTTTGTGAAGTGACAAAAGAGATAAAGGTGTCTTTTGTTATTCAGAACCACACCTGAGTTTATATGAATGAGGTGACTTTTGGAAACAAGGCAACCAACCAGCGATGGGACGGTTGGGACTTTCAGCCTCACCCCTGTCCTGTGGCCAAGAAGTTCATCAGTCAGGCTCACGTGACAGAGCCTCTGTAAAAACCCAGGAGACAGGGTTTGGAGAGCTTCTGAATGAGTGAATTTATCTACATGGTGGAAGGCAATGCCCCCCAACTCCAGAAGCTCCTACACTTGGGACCCCCTCGCCCTGTGTCTCTTCATCTGGCTGTTCATCTGTGTCGTTTATCATATCCTTTACGTGAAATAAAATTCAGGTTTTATGGCAGGGCAAGAAAAATTTAAACATAAGAAATTTTCTCTTCCCTTTGGCCTCCTCTATTCCCCCCCACCACTGCCCGCCCCACTGTGCATCGTGTACCTGCCTTAGGCATTGGTCGGACCTCCCCCATCAGTAGGAATATCTGCTCAACCATAAACAGCAGCATTCTCCCAGCGCCAGCAAGACGACTCCTAACAAGGTAACCTTCCTTATCCACCTTGTAAGCGGCCACAGTGACGCTTAGATCTGGATTGTGTAACCTGTCACTAGTACATGCTGTGAAGTCCAGCCCTCTGTCTCAAAAAACTTACAGAAGTGGGCCTTGACTTCTAAACGGGCTGGAACAGTTCTCAGACTTTTCTGAGATGCTCTACCTGGGTTATAACCCTCAAATCTGGCTCGGATACAATTTTCCATGAGATCCCACATGACGCGTGGCCAATAATAATTAATAATAATGATAAAAGGGTGTCTCCTGAAACATCTTGCAACAGAGAACAGCTTTGTGAGAACCCCTTAGGAACATCTTGCTGGATGCTGTCAATCAAAGAGCACAGCCTTTTGGAGGTGGGGCCGTTAGACCTTTCAAGCCGACAACACAGTGGAGGGTATATGTGTCCTGATGAAGGGGTTTAGGGGTGAGCCCTCCGTCGCCGAAATTAGCTAAGGCATTGCTCATGCAACTGATCTTTACAGGACCTACTGTGTGCCATGCCTGGCTTCTGGCTCTGGGGATGCATCAGTGGAGGAAAGGCAAAAATCCCTGCGCGTGTGTGTGTGTGTGTGTGTGTGTGTGTGTGTGTACTTTTCATTCTAACTCAAGGAAATAAATTAACCACAATTGCATGGCATTGCATGTTACAAAGTATAACATGATCTCCTGCTGCAGCACAAAGGGATACAGAGGAAGGATCACAGTTTAGGATCTAGAGGTCAGGTCTTGGAGACAGACATGCCCCCCACCCCCCAAGCTGAAACCTGCAGGGGAGAAATGATGCTTGGATCTCTCTGAAGGTTGTCTGGTTGGGCATAAGCAATGGTGTTTTGCACCCTAGGAATTCAACGTTCGAATAATATCTCAAGAGAATCGGAAACAGGGGAACTCCCCATTGCCAAACCAGCTGGAAATGAAGATACTCGTAGAGCTGAGCTTTCCCCAGCACCCACCTGTCGGCACACGTGTCTGCCCAAGCCCTGGAATTCTTGTGATTCTCCCACCACCATGAGCCAGCATCCCTTCCCGAGTGGTCCTCCCCCAGGTGCATGGATTCCCAACACGTCACTCGATGTATGGCGGGAACTCAGGCAACGTGGCCCCAAACGGCTCTTGACGAGGGAAGCAAAACTCAACGGAACACCCAAAACAGAGCAACCAAGGACCCAGAGAATCCCCTTCCTCCTTAGTGACACGAGATGTCTTTGGGGCGCATTGCATTCTTTCAGCCCCAAACAAAACAAAACAAAATGCATCCTCCATCAACAGAGGGATTGGTAACAGCAGGTGGACTCCTTGTTAAAGAACCTCTGCATATTTCAAACGCCAACTCCTATTTCACCGCCAGAGGACAGAATTCCAAGACGGTCCATTGCATCCTTCCCAATGCTTCCAGAAGGCGTCTCAATACTCAGGACTCACCTGCACTGTTGTCAGAGCTGCCAGGCTGGGGACGTGGCAGTGGCTTTGGCCTTGGATAGATATCTGTTGGAAAACACCAAGGTGATGATGTTAGGAAAAGAATGACATCTTCCCGCAATGAACCATTCACACAATACAAAAGGCCGAAATACAACATGACATTCCGGCTTATTTATATTTGCTGTTTGTCGCTTTCACAGAACCTCTGGTACTCAAAATCTCCAAAGCTTTAAACACCATGTTGACCTTGGCGCCCAGAACCTCCTCTTTTGGTTCTGAAAGCAAGAAGTTCATGGATTCCTGAAAAGAATCTGGCAGACGCTGCCCTGTGGATGTTCCAATGTTTAGCGTTGTCGCAAACATCACGTTGTTTGCAAAAGCCCGTCATCAATACTAGGACAAAAGCATCTCACATTTTTGACGACGTGTTACCCTTCCTGCTGTGCGTGTGTACGTTCCCTCACTGGAGTTAATCTTAACTTTTGTCACAAATGCCCTTAATCTGCCCTTCAAACTTAGCCCAAGCTTCCTGCCCCAGAGCCTTGGCACAAAACACTGTCTCTGCCAGGATCTCCCATTCCACCTGCAGGGCCTTTCTTGCACAGCAGAATGTCCCAGGACACGCTGTATTCAAGGGACTCTCACCACTGCCTTCAATGACTCACTTTTCTTCTCAAGAGACACACACAGGACCTGGGTGAGCCGGGGGCAAGCATGAGATTTAAGGAAAGCTTCTACTCCTGTGTCGCTGTTTCCATACTTAAGTTCTAATCAAGTTCTTTCCCCTCTTCGTTTGCTGTGTGTGTTGAGTTTGCTGCGTCCCTGTTTTTCCATGTTTTATCATTTCATCATGAATCATTCCAAATGGGTTAGGCAGAAAGCATATTCGCTGAGTCTGATCAGTGTTCCAAGACCTCTTAATCAAGACGTGTTCCCCAATAAACCATCAGCAGACCTAGCTTCTAAGGGACAGTCAGGCTGATACCAAGAGCCATAGAACTCATATCAAATATAAATTCATTATTTGGGGGCGCCATTTTAAAGGCATCTCCCCACTGGGTTTTAGCAGAGCTTGAACACAAAGGCCAGAAAGCAACCTTCCTCTAATTTGGAATGTGTCAGCTGCTGGAACGCTGAGTCACAGAGGGACCCCTCCCAAGCATGAGGCTTGCTACCCACGCCCTGGGGTGGATGAGTCATCCTGGTCCTGGTGACTCATGTTACAGGATGGCCAGCATCTAACATTCTCTGGACCCCGCAGGAGGGAGGCCCATGGGAATACATTTAACCTGAGATCCCCAAATAGACTGTAGCAAGAAACACTCCCCAGGAGGGATTTCCATCGGCACCTTGTAGAATAACAGCGCTCCATCGGACAATAGTTTGTTGAAAAGGCTGGGAGGAATTTTTACAGGAAAGGAATCGATGGAGCTGGGATGTTAAAATTGGAGGGGAAAAAAAAGCCCTAAAGGCTATGAAACCGAGCAGGGCCCTGTGAAGCTCCTGGGCACAAAAGCCTTCCTGTGTCCCCCGTTTTCTTGATTACAGGAAATAGGCTTCATTCAGCCCCCATGACCTTCCCTGCGTTCCAACAGGCAGATTCAAGCGGTTGCTAATCAGGGAAGGGAGGGGGCTGCAGAGACACGGGAGGAACAGTGAAGAAACAATAGTGCAGCCTTGGGGCAGGTCCTGGTTCCCCCCTCAAGGGATACACATGACAATACTGTTTGGCAGATATTGAAACCCCCAACAAATGGACATGTTAACTACTTGATAAGGCATTCTTCATTCCAAAGAGAAGGCCACAGTTTGATAACCTCTGAGAAGCACAGAAGCCCATCAGGAGACCACCTGAGCCCAGGTGATGTCTAGATTGAAGGAGTGCAGGCCCTGAAGGCACCCTGGTCCTTCTCAGCAGCCCCACCCTTTGAACCATTGCTATAAAACTCCTCACCATCCCACCCCAGGTAGGGACAGTTTTTTGTTTTTGTTTTTTGCGGTACGCGGGCCTCTCACTCTTGTGGCCTCTCCCATCGCGGAGCACAGGCTCCGGACGCGCAGGCTCAGCGGCCATGGCTCACGGGCCCAGCCGCTCCGCGGCACGTGGGATCTTCCCGGACCGGGGCACGAACCCGCGTCCCCCGCATCGGCAGGCGGACTCTCAACCACTGCGCCACCAGGGAAGCCCAGGGACACAGTTATGAGGGCAGGAGCCCGCTGTGGCCCCTCTGCCGGGTAAAGCAACGAAGCTATTCTTTTGTATTTCACCTGAAACTCTGTCTCTGAGATTCAATTTGGCACCGGTACACAGAGGCCAAGTTTCGGTATCAAGGATGACAAAGTCGTGACGTAAGCGTCCGTTAACTAACACAGTTAGCAGCCTGGGTTGCTTTGCAATTAAGTAACGGCTTCGTAGAACCTTACGTCTTACTTTTCGTGACATCTCCCTCACCATGGCCATCACCACCGCCGAGGAGATGAATTTCCCTCCATCTCAAGGCCACACCAAGCTTCCAGGAATCTTCCGCAAGCTGTCAACTTGGCCGGTGTCACTGGTCACCTCTGCCTAGTCAGCTTTTAGGTCTTTAGGGTCTTTGAATCGCTGAGGACTTTATGGGCTATTGGCTAATATTAACCCCCTCCCGGCCCCCCCTTTTTTTTAAAGTGATCTATAGGCGCAGTGTCTGCCAAGCTTTTAAAACAAAGGAGAAACTGAAGATAAATGACCTAAAACGCACAGTGCACGGGAAGTTATTAGGAACCACGGAAACAGCTAGAAAAAGACTCGTCCTCCAGCCTGATTAAAATTCCAGCACATTAATGCACAACATCCCCAAATGCTCAGTATTCTCCAAGTGTCTGAGCAACGAAGAAATAAAATAATGCAAACTGCTCCCCCCGCCCCCGTAAAAGCTGAGTTGGTTCTTACTTCAGAAGCAGACAGATGAAAACTCATAGTTAAAAAAAAAAGAAAAAAAGAGGCACCTTTCATCAAACTTGTTTTGAAATGAATGAACATTCTTACTTCCACTGTTGTCGGGATTTCCAGGCTGTGGCTGGTGGGGAGGCGTCGGCTTTGGGTAGATATCTGTAGGGAAGACAACATTGCACGTTTAGGAGAGAAGACTGTCCTTCCGTCAGTAGCAGCCTATAAAATAAGAACTAGATCTTATATTTTATTCACAGTTGCTGCTCACAGACTTGCAGATCGCCATCGAGCCGCTAAAAATCACTTAGCCGCTAGAAGTAAAATCTCAGAACGTAGAACTTAAAGAAAAAACTGCATACACACAGTTACAAAACTAACTGTTTAGCCTTTACACTGTACACACACACACACACACACACACACACACAAAACTCAAAAACTGTTTATTCCTTGAAGATTATTTTGTCTAACATTGCTACATGATGCCATTTTCCTCTGGTTAGTATCTGCCTCCAAATCTTTATGCAAACATTGACTTTCACTTTGTTTAATAGTATATAACTGATTCAAAAGTGCTTTAAGCCCTGTCTTTTAACATAGTCATAAAATCATTTTACATCTACAGTAATTAATGTTACGTTATTCCTACTATTTTATTTTTTTTCCTTTCTTTTCTTTTTTTAACATTTCTGGACCTCTAGTTAATCAAGTTTACTTTATTCTTCGTTCAATCAAGTTTCTTCATTTAATCAAGCTTATTTGTCATTTTTCTCTATTTAGTTAATCAAGTTTATTCTTCATTCAGTCAACTTTATTATTCTTTTCATCAACTTTATTCTTAATTTTTCTCTCCTGGACTAATGTAGGAATTAGACACAATCAACCTAAGTGTCTGTGTTTCTGCTGAAATCCTTGTTTTCAGTTCATTTGGGTCTATACCCAGGAGAACTGTTGCATCACAGGGAAATTCTATACGTAGCTTTCTGAGCAGCTGCCAGACTGCTTTCCGCTGAGGCTGCACCATTTTCTATCCCCACCAGCAACGCGCGAAGGCTCCAGTGTCTCCACACCCTCACCGACACTTGGTATCGCCCATATTTTGATTCTAGCAGTCCTAGTAGGAATGATGTCTCACTGTGATTTTGATTTCCAGTTCCCCAAGGACTAGGCTTTGCTTTAAACACCTGCCCCTCTTTCACACACTCCACGTCCCTAGAAACACCTTCAAAAACCTCATCTCAAGGGCACAGCCTCATTTCTGTGCAGCCAGGTAGTCGCTCACCTGAGCTCGGCTTCTTCGTGGGCTCTGTGGACAGAGAGAACATACATTCAATACGCGTCGAGGATTTACGTGCAGCTCAAAGAAAGATTCGTTAATGCCCTAATAAACAATGAGAATTTCAAGGCGCTAACACAGACATGATATGAACACAAATTCCACTCTGTATTCGGTGGGGGGGGGGGGGGGGGGAGAACAAAAGCATCTTTAAAACCCATGCCCACCAGTCTCCACGGGAGCTGTGCAGAGGTCCCGCTGGGGGAGCAAAGCTTTCCTGAGGTGGTCAGCTCAGCTCCTTAGGAAGTAAGTTTCATCCGAGCCTTGCAGGAGGTAAGGTGGCGAGATTTGGGACGCCAGCAGGATGACCGACTGAGCACAGAGCATCCAGGGCAGGGGGCGCAGAGCTGGTGCCCCACAGACGTGCAAGGTGACAACATGCCTGCAGAGCAGAGGTAGGGCGGGTGAAGGCAGATCTGGAGAGAAGCTTCCTCCGATTCCAGGACGATGCTTTTCTCACTTTCTTGCACATGTTTCTTCACGTGACAAAAGTTTGCGGAGTGCCTGTTGTTGCCGGGGGTGTGTAAACCCGGGGGTCCACAGCTTCCCAGGTGGTTTCGGTTCCCTGAGGTCAGCACTCATGGACGGGGGGCATCAGGTGCAGAGTACCTGTCTGCCAAGCTCAGTGAGTCTGGGGGTGCAGTGTTGGTGGGCAGACCGGGGCAGGAGGAAGAGGTTTGGGGAAGGTGCTCGGAGGGGTGGCACCTGACAAGGGTGAGGGAGGTTGGAACTGCTGGGTGCACAGTGGACAGGGTCCTTCCTCTCTGCAGAAAGCCCTCTCTCACTGAGCATCGTGGGTTCAAGGTCCATCCACATGGTAGCCTGTGTCAGAGCTTCACTCCATCCACGGACATTTGGGTGGCTTCTGCCTTTTGGCGATGATGAATTACGCCACTGTAGACACATATGTGTCTGAGTCTCTCCTTTCAATCCTTCCCTTTCTTCCTAGGAGGGGACTTGCCAGTTCACAGGTTGATGATGTTTTTTAATCGATAAAACACCTCCGATGATTCTGCACCACAGCCCTCAGCTGCGGGTGCCCTACCCTGGGCGTGCTCCTTTTTTATCCATCCCAGACCCTGTGCCAACCACCCAGGCTAAATGTGGGGGGGTACCTCCCAATGCCCCGCAGTGTGGCTGCAACCACTGGCCCTCCTATAACCCTGACCTCGCAGCCCGTCCACTCTGGGAAGGACTGAGCCCTTCACCACTGCAGTCAGATGGCGGAAGCGGTGTGTCAGCCTTGATCTGCATCGTTAGGTTTGTCTGGGGCTCTGACAATAATCTCATATCTGCTCTGTCACGGTTACCACTAGCAAAAGCCTCGGTTAGTGGGGAAAATTGGGGAGGGAGCAGGTCTTTCATCATTGGCTGTCATCCTTTTTCTTTTTTTCCTCATCCACTATTTTGTTCTATTTCTTCCGTGTCTGCAATTTTTCTGATTACAAAATAATACATAGTAAAAATTCCAACATATCAGAAATGTAAAAACACAGATAATGAATATCTTTCAAAATGCCATTTTCTAGAGAAGAAATATTGTTAAAATTTTATTATTCCTAAGATGTATTTTCATTTTAAAAAGCAGCTCCTTTGAGAGTACGAAAGTACTAAGTGTCATCCCCTGGCTCATAAGTGAAGTGATGACAGGCTGCTATTGTAGGCCACCCTGTCCCCTGGTTCTCAAGGTTCTTTTTTTTTTTTTTTTTTTTTTTGCGGTACGCGGGCCTCTCACTGCTGTGGCCTCTCCCGTTGCGGAGCACAGGCTCCGGACGCGCAGGCTCAGTGGCCACGGCTCACGGGCCCAGCAGCTCCGCGGCACGTGGGATCTTCCCGGACCGGGGCACGAACCCGTGTCCCCTGCATCGGCAGGCGGACTCCCAACCAGTGCGCCACCAGGGAAGCCCTGGTTGTCATCCTTTTTTAAGTTGAGTGGGTCCGGTGATCAGGTCCCTTCTTTACTTCCTGGAAAATCCACCGTAATTGATGGATGAGTGACCTTGGGTTCTCCTGATGACAGAAGCAGCTGATTTTTCTGAGTAGACGAGCACCGATGTTTCTTCCCACTGTGCCTGCAGGTCACAACGTTCCCTTCTTCCTCAAGCCCCCCAGGTCTGAACGCTCCTGCCCCCCAGCTTGACTGTGGGCCTTAATCCAGACCTTCCTCCCGGGCCCAGGAGATGTACAGTCAGCTTTTCAGCTGGCAAGAAGGTCCAGCTGACCTCAAGGGTAGTGGCCACACACAGGTGGGGTGTAGGGGGGTCTTCCAAGTGGTAGATGCCCCACGAGTAGAGGTGAACCACATTTAAGAGAAGGAAAACCCTCCAGCGTATGCGCAGACCCTTGGCTTGGAGAGCCCAGACCTACCAAGACAGAAGACTGAGCCCCACAGCTAAGGCCGGATGTGAAGGTCCATCTCCCGGGGCTTGTGATCTTGGGTGAAAAACAGAGCTCTCACTGCCTGGAATTCGGAATCCCCGCCACACCCAGCCCCGAGGCACCACAGAGCTGACACAGGCTGCGAAGCTCAGCATCTCCTAGAGAAAGACGGGCACTTACCGGGGTCATCAAGAGCGTGCCAAATCAAAGTCACCTTGACCTGTGGGGAGACATAGGGCGCTAGGTCACACCGCGATGGGACCGGCAGGGCCCCCTGACACCTGTCTCCACCCCCTTTGCCCCATCTGCCCAGACATCCCCGCTGGTGCAAAGGTCAAGCCCACCACCCACCGTGAGGTCAGCGGAAGACCAAAGTCCCCCTCTCTCTCTCCACTTCCCCTGTGGTGTGTTTGTCAAACCAACATCCTGGCTTTCCTGGCAGGCTGTGCCCCTCACCAAAGATGCCTCCGAAGGAAGATGACAGCACCCCCGTCTTTTTTTTGTTCTTGTTATTTAAGTATAGTTAAGCTACAATCTAGTGTCAGGTTCTGCTGTATGCGAAAGTGATTCAGTTATACATATTTTTTTTCAGATTCTTTTCCCTTATAGGTTACTACAAGATATTGAATGCAGTTCCCTGTGCTGTACAGTAGGTCCTTGCTAATTATCTATTTTATATACAATAGTTGACATCTGCTAATTCCAAACTCCTAATTTATTCTCCGCCCGCTTTCCCCTTTGGTAATCATGAGTTTGTTTGCTATGTCTGTGAGTCTGTTTCTGTTGTGTAAATAAGTTCATTTGTATTATTTTTTGGATTCCACGTATAAGTGATACCATATGGTATTTGTCTTTCTCTGTCTGACTTATTTCACGTAGTATGATCATCTCTAGGTCCATCCATGTTGCTGCCAATGGCATCCCCATTTTTTTTTTTTAATAAAAACCAAATTTTTTTAGGGGCTTCCCTGGTGGCACAGTGGTTGAGAGTCCGCCTGCTGATGCAGGGGATGCGGGTTCGTGCCCCGGTCTGGGAAGATCCCACATGCCGCGGAGCGGCTGGGCCCATGATCCATGGCCGCTGAGCCTGCGCGTCCGGAGCCTGTGCTCCGCAACGGGAGAGGCCGCAACAGTGAGAGGCCCGCGCACCGCCAAAAAAAAAAGAAAAAGAAATATATATAGGCTGTGTTCCCTGTAGCATGGTGGTGGAAAAACAAAATTTTTTTTTAAATTATTTTTTTGACTGCGTTGGGTCTTTGTTGTTGCGTGCGGACTTTTCTCTAGCTGCAGCAAGCGGGGGCTACTCTTTGCTGTGGTGCATGGGCTTCTCATTGCAGTGGCTTCTCTTGTTGCAGAGCACGGGCTCTAGGCACGTGGGCTCAGTAGTTGTGGCACGTGGTCTCAGTAGTTGTGCGCACGGGCTTCGTTGCTCCGCGGCATGTGGGATCTTCCCGGACCACGGCTCGAACCCGTGTCCCCTGCACTGGCAGGCGGATTCTTAACCACTGCACCACCAGGGAAGTCCCTGGTATCCCCGTCTTAAAGAGGAGGGAGATGCTCCTAGGATCTCAGCTGCCTCGAGCAAAACATAGATGTCTTGGAAAGCCAAAGAACCCGTGCATTCTGCAAACATTTACGAACTGCGACTCTGATCCAGGCACAGTTACCCAATGGGGACGGGACCTTCAATGACACTAGCCCTGCTTCCTGGTTCTTCAGGGGAGAGAGACCCATGAATATCCCTAAAGGTGGGGACAGGGTGCAGCGGGGACCACAAGGCAGCAGGGGCAATTGCAGGTCTTGTGTGAGCCGACCTGGAGGTCTGCCTGGAGGAGGTGACACGTGAGCCGTGTGGAAGATAGTGGTTTACGCACTGGGAAACACTCTGACCCCAGTTTACAGCTCAGGGGATGCCTTTGGGAAATGCGGTACGGTGGCGGCTCTGTGGCTGGAACTGTGGATATTTTCCTTTATGGCTAAGACAGAATGCATCTTGGACTGAGGCCCAGAATCGCGCTGCCCTTGCCTCTCCGTGACACCCCCGCAAGCATTTCACAAACATTTCAACCCCGGCTCCCTCCAAGTGTTCAGGGGCCCAGAAATTTTGTTGGCGTGCGAGTTTCAGACTTGCTAAAAATACTATGAGGAAGTCTAGGGTCTGGAGAGAAGCAGAGGCTGGATTTCAGTTTTCTTACAAGCTCAACCCGGAGAAACTTGGGTGGATAACAAGTGAGTCAGGGGGACTGGAACCGACGGCTCATGGGTACGGAGTTCCTTATGGGGGTGATAAGAACATTCTGGCATTAGATGGTGGCGATGGTTGCACCACATTGTGAACATGCTAAACAAAATTGTCTGCACTATTCACTTTCAAAGTGTTCACAGGGTGACTCTGATGCATGTGAATTTTATCTCAGCAAAAAACACAAAACCTTTTTAACAAGCTGAGTGTCCCTTTCCTGCCAGTTTAACGGCTTCTTCCCACATACATCCCATCCATCACCTTCGCCGCCTCTCAAACTAGAGAAGCCCAATCAGAAAACCTCTGAGCTCCTGACCAATGTGTATCTCATCTTTGGCTGATAAAAAGGAGCTTTTTAAAAGAGCTTTGTTGAGGCAGAATCCATAGATTACACCATTCACCCGTTTAGAGCACACAATCCAGTGGCATTTAGGATGTTTATAATGAATGCTATGCAAGCACCATTTCTATCTGGTTCCAGAACATGTTCATCCCCCAAAAGAGACCCCGTCTGCATTTAGACTCACTCCCTATCACCCCTGCCCAGCCCCTGACACCACAGACCCACCCTCTGCCTCTGTGGATTTGCCTGTTCTGCACGTTTCCTAACAATGGACTCATACACGGTGTGTCCTTCTGTGCCTGGCTTCTCTCACCGAGCATCCGGTGTTCAAGGTCCATCCACGTGCTCAAGCGTCTCAGTGTGAAATCCTAAATCTGTATGGGGCAGGGTTTCTTCAGGCAAAGGCACTGCTTTCAGTCCCCCGTGACCTGTTTCCCGCTTTGTCGCTGTAGCCGGCGCAGGTGGGGGCCTGGAGGCACCACCCTATGCTCCCTGCTGCCCCGCACCAGCCCTGCCTCGAAAACGTCGCTGGGGACCTATTAGGATGCTCAGTCATCTATGAGCACCTACTATGTACCAAGTCCCACCGCAAGCATCTGCAGGTCACCCCAGCATCACTCTTTCCGCCCACGAGGGGACGTCAGTGTTACGACCATGCGCTTGTCCCAGCCGAGGGGCCTGAGTTTCCAGGAGCCTAAGGGCAATGTCAGGTTTTGCACCCAGACCCTCCAGGAACCCCAGTCCCAGCCCCTGTGCCTGGAAGGGGGCTGGCGGGAAGCGGGGGGACACTGTTTTCCTAGACCCTGGGCATCCTAGACTCCCCGAGTCTGCCTGGAGGTCGTTTTGACGCGTCCAGCCTGGGGTCGGGGAAGTCCTTGGCCTGGCCTGGCTGGGATGCCATTGGGGGCAGCTTCTGGGGCTGCTTGTCAAGGGAACTGGGACCCCGGTGCGTGGATGCCCCCAGGCAGGGGTTTCCGGAGCTGGGACCGGCCCAGGCACTGGACGGCAGAGCAGCTGAGGTCAGAGGGCATCCACCGGCACCTCACGGTCTGGACTGGAGGCCGGGGCTCGGTGCATTTAGAGGCCACACCCCGGAGAGCCGTCTCTAACACAGGGAGACCCCGCATCTGTCCCCATTGCCCCTGTCTGTGGCCAGGGTCTGTGTCCCTCCGGCTTCTGCCAGGTCCTCTTTTGGGAACAAGCTGGCCACTCTCTGCTCTGGGTCATTGTGCAGGGGCTGGGTGACAGGAATCAGCGTCAGCCTTGGGGATTCTGAAGACACATTCCTTCCAGGGCTGCCAGTGGGGCTGTTGACTGTTTACAGATAACTCTCACGAGGCTCTTCCCAGGAGTTCCAGGCATCCCGTAAAGACGCACCCACACAGTGTCCTCCAACCTGAGTGTCAGGCCACTCCCTGTTCTGAGATGAGCGAAGCCTCTGTTATCTGTCTCCTCCCGGCCTCTCTGGAATCCATCGCACAACCAACGGGCTGGGCAGGAGCCGGCTGTTTTCCAAAAGGGCCTTGGGTCGTCTCTGGGGATGTGGTAGCCTGGCCAGCTGGCCTTCTTGCAGCCGGAAGCCAGGGAGTGCCGTCTGGGGCTTTGAGAACAGCCAAGTCCCTCCACCCTGCCCTAACCCCATCCTGCGTCCCCTTCTCTTTCCAGCAGCCTCCTTCCGTTTGGAGATGCTGCTGATGAGGAGAGGTCGTGGAGGAAGCTGTCCTTAGCTGTGGCGCTACTGGGAGGCGCGTGGGCGTGAGTCACGCCCAGAGCCGGCGGACCGCACCCAGTATGAGGCGCTCCCCTACCCTGGGCTTGGCGACGATCCAGTCCCGCAGGCCAGGCTGGCGTGCATCTGACGCCCTCTGCTCTCCAGAGGGGCTGCAGCCAAGACCCTCTCCCCATGTGCTTCAAATCGTAGCCCCACCAGGTGCAGCCCTGCCAGGCACATCACTCAGGTGGACGACGCTGATTCAGAGGTTCAATCTCGGTGGAGCTGGGGGGCAGGGGGGATGCAGCTCCCCAGGGCAATTACTTCCACTAGCTTTTTTTTTTTCCACTCGGAGCCTAAGACGGGGCTGGGAACATAAGACGTGTTTCTGATCTGCTTAGTTTAGCTGGGTCGGCGGTTTCTAATCGATCCCACATGTTCTGGGATCTGTAAACACCGAGGGGAAAGCAGCCGCGTGGGTTCTACGATCATAATGCTGGCCACCCATTGCCGACGTCCTGGAGATGGGGGTTTAAAATGACTCATGCTGCTGGGTGGGAGGTCTTAGCATCATACCCAAGAACCCCTACCCTCCAAAAAAAAAAGCTTTTTAGGAGGGATTTTGAGACGAAACCACCTGAGTGACACTTGGAGGAATTCTCTCGTTATCTCTAGTAACCAATCCCCTCCCTCCCCAGTCAAATTCTACCCCAGCAAGATTCTAAGATTCTTTGTGTCAGAGTTTGCTTCCCTGAACTTCTCAGACCCACAAGCCTACAGGACAAAGGGAATTTTTGCAAAGGACAGAGCTGTTGGAATAATCATGACACGGTGCCAAGGATGACACCATGCACTAGAAAAAACCCACCACGCCTCCACGGCGACCACGATAGAGGCACACGTCCAAGTTCCCACTAACTGACC